CATTTATCAACAAGATTTGTAAATTAAGATTTTTGCTTGATATTGTACGAGACACTGATGAGTAAAGTAATTTATTATAATTATAAATGATTCAACTAAATTATTCAGTATTGTTGAAAAAAAAGGAAATTGAAAGATTGAAAAACTAGTTTAAGTTCCATTTCATCTCTATTTTGTTAGAAATCATTTGCACTCAAATCAAGACCAGGTCGTATTGCTTATTGCAACCTGGTCTTGATGATCGATTATAATTTTGAAATGGAAATCAAAAATTTCTGATATCTATACACTCCAGAAATAAATGTTTGATATTGCGTATCTGCAGTGCATAATATTAACTTTATAAAATAATTATAGTACTCACTGTACCATATTCGACCCTAAAATCTCTGAATAAAATCCAGAAAGTTTCTATATTTACACACCTCCTAAGCTAACCCTTGATTCTGCAGATGAGAACATTCATTTGGTTCAACGGGTGTTACTTTCCAGAAACAGCAATATTTTTTTCCGTAAAGACTTTAGAGAACAAGACTCAAATTTATTACTCATGGTATCGTGTTTGATCGTCATCTTTGAATAATATACAGAAAGCTAATAAATCTATATTTCTCCGAAGCTAACTTCTGATTCATTTAGTTGGATTATCAGATGTTGTTAGTTTCTAGAAACTACAATAATTTTTTTCCAAAGAAAACTTATAAAACAATTATAGTACCCATTGTACCATATTCGACTCCAATCTCTGAATAAAATCCAGAAAGTATCTATATTTATACACCTCTGAATGTAACCTTTTATTTTGCATTTTCTTCAGGGGTTGTCTTGATTCTGTCAAAACATTCAATTGAGTTATCCGATGTTAATTTCCAGAATAACAATATTTTATTCCAAAATACTTTGTAGAATGAAACTAAAATTTATTATTCATTGTACCGTGATTGATCCTTATCTGTGAATAATCTCCAGATTCTGCTTCTAGTCAGTACATAACATTCAGTTAGTCAGTCAGTTAGTTTTTGGAATAATATTATTTTTTCTGAACAGGATTTATAAAATGAGACCAAAATTTTTTATTCATTATGTTCTGACTGATCCCAATCTCTCGATAAAATACAGCAAGCTCATAAATCTACAGTTCTCTTGATGTTGGCTTCCGTTTTTGGTCAGTGATATAACATTCAGTTAGTTCATCAAGTGTATGTTTTTAGAAATAATATATATTTTCCAGGACAGCACACTCACAAAAATATGCTTTAACTACATACTAGTTAAATTGACCTGATCATTATGTTAGAGAAATTTTAACTCATGTGATAAAGAAGATATAAAAACCAACATGTGTTATAGTTGAACCAACATCGAGTAAAAATATCTGGACCTCAAATTATTTTTATAAGTTATTTATAATTATTTTTATAAGTGTACCTGATATAATTATATGCAATATAAAAAACAATGTTTGGAGTTGACAGAAGATGATACATGTATATCTAGGGAAAGAACACCACTACGAAAATTGGAAGTTAAATTTTGGAAGAACAAGAAAACTAAAAAAATCTTGAGATTGATGAGGTGACAGTGTGCAGTTAAATCTCAGAGAGTTGAATATCAGCAACTGAAAGGAAAATGCTGAAAGCAAAACCGAGTGAAGGTACAATGCAAAACCGACTTAGTTACTTAATGGACTATATATTTAAAAAATATTCGAAGGTTATTGCAAACCAGCTTATGTTCTTAATGGAGTATATATTTAGTAGATATTCGGAAGCTGTTGTGAAACTAGCTAAGGTTTTTAATGGATTATATATTAAGTAGATATTCTAGATTTACTATATAACTGGAATAAATGGAATCTATATAATCCTCATATATTTTTTTATGATGATGATGTTAATATAGATATATATTTTTTAAATATCTAACTTATATTTGTAATTAAAGATTTCTTAAACTTTACCTGTCCATTTCGCAATGTTTTAGTTAGGTAAATTAGTCACTATTTTTGATATTACAATCTTATGTATAGAATGCATTGATTAATTTTAATTTTCAAATAAAAATATTAACCATAAATGTTAAAGTTATATAGGTACTTCAAGTACTGATTCATATTATGAACTCATATTTGGAAACCACAAATTCAAGAGAAAATAAGACTTCTTTAGAATGCATTATTAGGTCATAGGAACTTTAACTTTCGATTGGTCATAGCGCTTTGTATTTACCAAAAATATATATATGTATATATTTTACTTAAATATTTAAAAATTGATAAATTTTTTACATACTCATATACCAAAAAATATATATGTTATTAAGTAACCATTTTTAATCATTTCAAAACATACGAGCACACAATATGCGTACATATATTACGTGTGTTGGCAAATGAGTCACATTGCACCAGAAAGCGACATTCTATTGATTTTGTGAGTATTACAGAATTTTTAAAAGCATTTCAAGGCACACTCAGGCTTACACTTTACAAAAATATGTTGAGATACGCTAAACCCATTTGACATGGAAAAATATTTACAATATTTGCAATAATTCTTATTTGCTGCCAAAGTACAAAACTCCATAAATATTAAATTTTTTTTTTTTTTTCATTTATTCTATTTGTTTCAGATACCATGTATCTCGTAAATGCGCCCAGAGAAATAGGTTAATAAAATATAACTGCTTTTTATTTGAGTTTTTTATTTATTCTATACAAAGCCACTTTGCCATTTATGTCAAATTGACATTTGCATGTGAATATTTGATGAATGACTTAATTAATTAATAAAGTTTTGCGGGCACAAATAATTTAACAGTTGACATGGCATACAAAAGACGATAATAACGAAACGAAATGGGAAAAATGATAAATAAAATCACTTAGTGGAGTAGACAAAAGTTAAATTACTGGTTAGACAAACAATTAGTAACCTAATTTATGTGCCAAGATGTAAACTACATCAAATGCACTTACTGACCCAATTTAGGGGCATCCACTGAACAAGCCTAAGCAGCTAAACACGCCCGTATCTACAAGCGTACAAGACATAAAAAACTTCACTTCCTACTGCGTTGCTCTCTTACACTTTTCCTTTTTTTTGTTTTTATTTTTTTTTGTTTTTGTTTAAAAAAACACATTTTTCTTAACAAAATTTAATTACCATTATTTATTCTTACCACAGCACAATTTCTAACAACCCACTTAAGGCTTGTTAAGACCCGCTGGCTGCATGTGGACTTGACTCCACCTTTGACATTAATCAGTTTTCTTTAGGTAGAGACCAGAAGAAAAAAGTGAGAAGAAATGAAAAGTGCTTACAAATCACGCCAGCCCAGTTCGCTTAAGCCACTTAAGCCCATAAAAAATTTAGAAAAATTGTTTTAGTAATAAAAACAAAATTCATATAAAAGCACAACAGCAACTACATTTTATTATTTCGAAATTGATAGCTACTTTATTTTGCATATAAGCTTAACTGTGTAAAAAAAATTTTTTTTTATATATATATATAAAATATGTATATTTAATTTATTAAAAATTTGTGCCATAGATGCGTACTTTGAGCCCAGCACTACTACTAATTAAGCTCATCAATTAATCAAAATTTTCATTGCTTAAAAACCTTAAAAAATTAAGTAAAATCTATTTTTTTTCATATAATTTTTTTTATGAAAAAAATATTGTTAATATTTTCACAAATTTATTTAGCTAATATATTTTAATTTTTCATAATTTTTTTTTAATTTTTAAACATATTTTTTTAGTATTTTTTTGTAATTTTTCAATTTTATCTTAGACCACCAAAAAGAAATTCCATTTCTGGCTTTGAATAATTAATCTTGTCTTTAAAGGTTAAATGACGTTCAAATTTAGAAAAAAAAAATATTTTTTATACGTCAATATTTTTTTCAAATTTTTTATTTTTTTTTTTGTTAATAAATACTTTGTACTCATTTAACGTAATTTGCATTTTAGCATTTTTACTAACTTAAAAACATAGTTTTTAACTTATAATATTAGGTGTGAATGCGTTTCACAAAATAGTAGAAAATTATTTTAAATAAATTGTAAACAAAATAAAAAATAAATAGAAATATATTTATATAAAAATTAATAGATCTAAAAAATTATACTGTGACATTATCACTCCTAGTAATAATAACCTATAATATACACATGGATTTTTTTTAAAAATTCTACAAGATTGCAGACGAAATGCCGTAAAAATTCATATGAACCATCTAAAAACCAAGATGTGGCTTAAGGATTCTTTAATATATAATAATATAATAATAATTATTATTATAAATAGACAACTATGTGTCATATTTTAACTAAATGTTTAGGTTTCAAAATTCCAATGCCTAGATCAAGGCTGTCCAAAGCACAGTCCACCGGCCTCCCGGCTAATATTTGTGCCGCCCACTACGTATTTCTAATCTACCACTATTAAGCAAATTATCTCTTAGTTATATTTTAGTAACATCACATTATTTTATTTTTATGGTATCCCAAATAAATGAATTAAAATATTTTAAATAATTTATTACACTTATTATTACGTTAATTTATTTAATTGCGAAAGACTTTAGTATATATTATATACATTATACATAGTATATATAGTGCCGTAAGTGATTACATTAAAAATAAACTAATATCAATAATGCTGATATTACAAGTATTAAAACTAATTATTAATCCTAAATTTATCATTATCGTCGTATTTTTATTTTTCTTCGGAAAAATTATGAACATATGTAATTATTTCTGCCGCCCTCCAACCTATTCAGTGTTTTGTATTAGCCCGCGATCTTATCTGGTCTGAACAGCCCTGGCCAGATAGTGAAGTCTGCATCTTTCCATAGCTGGACAGGCGCATTGAAAGTATTCTGCTGTTTACTATTGCTCTTGAGAGAGTCGGCAGGAATCGTTGTCTGCCAGACTTAAGGAATCGACTTAAGGAGTTGAGATCTTGGATTTGCTGTGTAATTTAACAAGACAAGATACAATGATATGTATATGTACGTAAGTGCGCCCTACTCTTAAATAAGAAAAAAATATATATCACTTTTATTGAAATGTCCCAAAACGATAGTATTTTAGTAAGTTTACTGACATACAACAGTCAATTAAATAACAATACTAGAAAAATAAATACTTTTTTTAAAGTTAATTAGTTTTGACAGAAAAGCCACGCTTTCTTATAATCAAAAAAAAAGCTATTTTTTACAATTTAGACGGCTTTGAATAATAAAGAAAAGACAAGCACAAAAATTTAGTTACTTTATTGAAATTTGGCGTCCTTAAAACCCCTGTAATACTGTTTTTAATAATTCTTGTTGTATAGTTCGGCCCATTCATTGTCGAAGGAAGAGCAATAGATTTATTTTAAGACTATATCTAGCGCATATACAACGAAATTGATGCATGGTAAGAACTTACTTCCTAGAGGCACTCATTCACAACAAAAGCTTACTAAAGGCCATCTTTAACTTTATTTAAGTTTTCAAATGGTTTCAAAACCTTCGAGCTGTATAAGATAATACAGTTTAATAATAAAGAGAAGTGGATTCTTAGTATCAACCCAGCTAATATTCAATGGAATGGCAAAAAAACTAGGTATTGGTACAAGGATATAACCACATTCTAAAGTTGGTGATGTTTCAAGAATTTAGATCTAATTTTTAGTCGAAAATTCCAACTAAACACTAAAAGTTCAGAAAGGTCAATTAAAAAATTAACTCCAAACTCCACATTCTTAGTCTTTTTTTGCTCTACCAGAAACTTCCCACATATCTTGAAAGCACTTTATTCTTTCACAAAAGCTATTTGTTTTTATGCTTTGCTGTTTTTCTTTTCTTTCAAAATTTTTCTCTATTCTTTATATATATTTGTTCTTTTTTATTTGTTCTTAATTTTTTTTAGTTCTCACATTTGCAACGTTTTGTTTTCAACTGAACTAAATTTAATTATCTTCATTAACTGTAACAGCTTTGCAGAAATTATTTTAACACATTTTAGGGTTCATTGATTGAAAGCCAATATAATTTTGTATTCCGGAAAACGATTATTAAATTTTTTTTTTTTTAGTTTTCTTTAAACCGATTTTTTTTTAAATTATAAAAAAAATTTTTTTCTGAAATTCGTTTCAATTTTTGCAAATATTTTGCATATTGTTTTTAAAATTTCACGCTGAGTGAATGTAAAATTCGCAATATTTTTCTGTATTTGCTTTAATTTAATTCAATTTCTATTTTATTTTTTTATTATTTAATTTATTTTTGTTTTTTTTTATTTTTAAATTTTTCTTTTACTCAAAAGTTCATTAACTTTGGCTTTTACTTCTGACCAGGCCAGCAAAAACAAAACCAAAACGACTTGACAGTATTAATTAAAAACAAAAATTTCTGTTTTATGTAAATTAATTACATTCAGGTCAGTTTTATTTGCAGTAGGTGTAATTTATGCTTAAATTTCATTTTTTTATATTTTTATATATGTATATTATATTTCAAACCCTTTAAGCATATTTTTTTTAACATAATACTTTCATTAACAAAAAAAAACTGCAAGGTATAAACATTTAAATATATTGTTAATTAAAGTTCTTAAATCATTTAAAGCGATAAACACTGGTTTTTTACAAAAAGTAAAAAAAAATTAAATATCATTGAAGGATTCAATATAATTGTTGTTTTGTTATTTTATTCTCGAAAAAATTAAAAACTAAAAAAGTATACTAAAAAACTGCAGTCATGAAAAATTTAGGGAAAAATTGATGAACAACGCAATTAACGTTTAGTAATTGATAGAATTTGGCTAGCAAAATTTGGAGTAAAAAAACACCAGAAAAATGTGATGCGTGTATACACATCCCTCCTCCGCCTCAAATAGCACCAAAACAAAAATGATGTGCTTTAAACTACAAATATCAAATATAATATATATCATATATGACAAATGCTTGACAGTTTCACGCGATTTTAATACTGGAATTAAAATTCAGAAAGAGAATACTCTTTATTAATAGTCGTTGAAATTTTTAAGATTATCCATTTTATCACAAACTCATAAGAATTGTAACCACATTGAATATTGCTATGATCCAGTACTCATTCATAAATCTGGCTCCCTATGTCTTCTAATGTTCAACAATAGTTTACTAGTACTTAGTACTTTTAATGATAAATATCGAGATTTCATTAAAAGTCGTGTGACACTTTCATCTAAGAAATAGGTCAGATATTGTTGAGATACCAGAGAGATATTTATTGATAGCTGAAACAGTGTTTGTCAACTAAAAACATGTTGCGGATTCGAAAAATATAGTATATATATTTTAAGGGCCGGTACTACTCGTAATATCTTCGCAACAAATAATATCATTTAAGTTGAAATTTTATATTTTATGGGCGGATGCTTTCACCCATTCTGTAGATCTTAGGCCTTCTCATGAAGCAAGGCTAGAAGTCTTGAAAAACCCCGAGGAACTATCAGAAACTGATATCAAAATGTTCTTAAATGGTTATTTTATCAGGTCAATGTTCTTTTATCCCGTCATCTATTCTTTTGAATAGCTATGATGTGATTTTAATTGTCTAGATGCAGTTTAAAATATTTTATATATTGTGACAACTCCAGAAATATAGTTTATTTGACCAAAGATTCATAATAAATTATAGAAATCAACAACATTCTCTATATACACATGTTATCTTACTTAAAGTTTTGAAGTAGATTGCTGTAATGAAGCCATAAACGACCGAGAGTGACGCGTCTTTATGACGAAAAGATGTTTAGACGGATTCGAATAGCAAAAAAAGACAAGAACAAAAATTTTATTTAATTTATTGAAATTTGGCTGACCATACAACGGTGTTTCGAGTCAAGTATTCAATCAAGTATTTATCATCAGTGATCGTAGGAAATATGCGAATTTATTTTTAAACTTTAAATTAAATTAGTAATTTTTTTTCATGTTTTTATAAAATAATTTTTTTATAAATTTTTTTTTATAATAAAAAGTCGTATTGTTCTTAATGGAATATTTAATTTTAATATCTATATATCTAGTATTTCCAGTATATATATCTAGATTTCTTCATATCTATCCATTTTCTTTCTTTCTTTATATTTAGGACAAATACCAATTGTTATACTATATACTAAATATATAAAATACTTAAATTATAATAAAGACTTTTCTATCTACAATAGAAAAACAAATTGCATTTACGCACGTGTCCATTATAATAAAATTTTGACTACAAAAAGATATAGATAACTTTAGTTATAATAAACAAAGATGTAATAGTTTGATAAGTAAGAGCATTGTCTAACGTTTTCGTAACGGATTAATCTTACAAAAAAAAGAACATAAATATATAATTAAAAATTTAAACAAATAAAATAAATTTATCTTTCTAATTTTACTATTTTTTTTTTTGTGCACCAACTAGATAATCTTCTTATTTCATGGTAAAAAAAAAACAACTGCATTAATTACTTTAGTTTAAAAAAAAAATAGTAAAAACCGAAAATAGTTCCTCCAATATCAGTGCTATTTGCTGAAATCATAGCTTTTTATATATATTGGCCAATATACATATTCATAGATAAAAAAATACCGTTTTCTCAGTTAAGTCAATAAATCTTCAGACTCTTTCCAGTCATTAAAGCTTGACCATTTAATCAATCGTGGTATCGTGGCTTTATTGCGAATTTTATGCTTCACAGTTTAAATTCAAATTGCTAATTTATTTATATATGCATTTATTTATTTTTAAATATTTATCGTACTTAAAACCACAGAGTAAAGATATCAAATTTTATTTGGCATAAGAAAGGTTTAAAAATTCTTTTATAACTGATTTTAAGCATTTTTTTCTAGGGATTTGCATAAAAATATTTTGATATTCGAACTTCTTTATGGATCGAACTCATTTCTGGAAGTCTAGTTTTGGCAAATTTCTTTAGAAATTTTTACATAAAATTAAGCAAATTAACTTTCAATTTCTTTTCTATTTTGTCAACCAACCGCAAATTTGGGTTGAAGTGAACTTTCGCTCTTACGTTTTTATCTTATAAATTTTTTATCTTCATTTTGAACGAAGATTGTACAGTAATAATCATAATACATAATAATAATGAACTCTTTATTTTGTTTTTTTTTTTTTATTTTGTGTACTGCTGAAACCAACAATAGTTTGCAATTAATTTGCAGTCAGATACTTTTTAAAAGATATTTTGGACATTAACGCCGCAGTGCTTGACGTGTAATTAAGTTGACAAAAATTTTCGTAATTATGTGGTAACCTTTTATTAATTTTAATTTCATATTTTAAAAACACACCAATTTTATTTATTTTTTTTTTTTTGTAAATAAACCCACAATTTGTGTAATTTTTTTGCAATTATTGTCATTTAAATAGTGAAAATGTGTAATTGCAATAAAACTGAGTAACAAGTTTCGATTTCATTAAGAAAAATAATGTCGCTCAATTAAATCTCAAAATACAAAATTTTTACATACCACACAAGACTTGACATAAAATAATAATGTTAAAAAAATAAAAATATAAACCAAAAAAAAAACAAAATGAATAAATAAACTGTAATTGAACTAATATCGAGACAATTAAAATATTTCAACTACACCAGTGTAAACAATCTTGCTTAAGAACTGTCAAGAACCCACACGCAATGTTAAAAGTACTTCGGTTCCACTCACACAACTTGAGTCCAAAAGTGTACCAAAAGAGTAAACAAACTGTCAATTTTGCCAAATCGCACATAACATTTGCGAAATTCTATTTATTCCACACAATAAAGTAACTTTTAAAATTTATTTATATTAATAATAAAATAAATATTTCACAATTATTTCATTTGGATTTTGGTATTTTGTTCATTTCTACATGGGCGCATACACTCGTATGTGCTGTCAGGGTTTGTGACAGTTCAGCAAGAAAAATTATGTCCAAAATCTTAGATTGTTTCAAAACTGACATTTTGTGCAATGAAAACAAAAACCGATTTGCAAATGAAATACAAAATGTATCTAACTGAAGCTAACTGATATCTTATAAGTCTGATTTACTAGTCTTACTGCACAACTTTGAGGTTAACAATTTTTCAATTTAATTAATTGATTGGTTTATGTGCAACTTAATTGTAAATTGTCAAATGGATTGAGTTAATTTATGTTTCTGTGCTGGCAACACTACTCTACTTAATGGATTACAAACAATGTTATTCTTGTTACAGCTTAACAATTTCGATAATGCAATTAAAGCTCATAGCTAAGCCAAACGAAACCAAAGGTGAGGTTGGTAAAGAACAGTGACGGATATTTCAAAAACAAATTAAGGGGTCATAAATGTATTAAGTGCTAGTTTACGAAATTATCAATTTAACACATATTTCTTAACAAAGAGTATTAAAAGAGTTTCCCAATATGTATATTAATCCTATCAATAAACCAATAGACCAGGTTCTATTGTTCCACGAGCTTCTAGTAGTAAAACTCAAGTAAAACACAAATAAAATTTACATAAAAATTTGCTGGTGGAACGCGCTTGTGTATACACAATGTTACTACGGGTAGCTCGTGGAACAGACCTAGTTTCATAAATCTAAAAAGTGAGTCAAAATTTAAGGAATTGTAGATAAACTGTTATAATGTATATAATGTCATACTACTGGATGAAATAGGGGACTATAAAATTCATATAGGTAGTCTATATTAACTAACATATCATGTGTACTGGCGCAATAGATGACCTAAAGTTTCAAAAATCTTAAGACTAAGTCATACCATATATGTAAGCAATAATAATTAACATTATATTATATTTTAGGTAAAAATAGTGAATTAGAAATTTCACATAAGTGACTATAATGTTGGATTATATCCAACTAAAACAATATGTATATTAGTACTATCAACAGGTGATCAATTGTTTTAAAAATTCAACGAATAAGTCATTATTTAGAGAAGTAATCATCATCAGCATTAGAATTCGGGGTGAGCTTTAGCTGCATCAACCAGTTTTCTCTATTCTGCTTTATATATTGTTTTAGACCTCCAATTTTGGACATGTTGTTTTTTTTTTATGTCGTCCATCATGTTGTCGAGCCATCTTATACGTAGCCTTCCTCTGCTGTGATCGTTGTACACCGTGAAATGAAGTATTCGCTTTTGTTGTCTATCATCCGGGATTCTCATGTGTCCGAATCTTCTCAAGCGCTGCGACTTTGCCAATTGTACAGCATCTTCGTGATCCAGGCGAATGGAACCATAAATCTTTCTCAGCACTTTCATTTCAAAAGTTCTAATTTCATTTTCATCTGCTGTCGTTAAAGTCCAAATTTCGCCTCCGTAAGATAATACTGGGCGGATGATTGCATTGGAAACGTGTAAAATGGTGCTTCTGGTCACGATTCTAGATTTGAAGATTTTTGCTTGGCCATAATAACTTCTGGTTGCTGCCACAATTCTGTCGTAGATACAAACAATGATGTCGTTGTTGCTATTAATGAGACCACAAAGGTATTCAACGCATTCAACTTCACCAAAAGTGAAATCATCGACTTGAATGGATTCTAAAAATCGGCTGTGCATATTTTTTTCAACAGTCACATAGTTTATTTTGTTCTCGTTAATGTTTAGTTCTACTGCCTTAGCTCTGTTAGAGAACTAGTTTCGAATTGTGTGTTGGGGGCTAAGAAACTCAAGCCTTTTAAAGATTAAGGGTTTTAAGGTGTTCTTTTAAAAAGATCTCCAGTTTTATCAAACAAAAAACAGAAACACAACATATAAATTTTGAAATCATACTTATTTCTTTAAAATTGATATATATTATTTTAAAGTAATTTTTTAAGACATTTTTAATACTTTATTTAACTCGTTAATATTTTTAATACTTCATGCCATATTTTTATTATATTTATTCAATACTCTTCCCTATATTTGTATTGTATAAATGTATCAGTATTTTTAATTTATTGTATTTTTATTATAGCATATCTATATATACAATATATTAAAAATTCTTTATTATTTTTGTGATTTTTTTTACAGATTATTTCTATCAAACATACTTGTAATTAATTTCAAACCTTATCATATGTTATCCCAGTATGTGTCACATAAATTTATTTAACATTATTCATATTAACTAATTCCTTTTAAAGTATTTTATGATATATCAAAAATTTGAAAGAAATCCATTAAATTATTACTTGTCTCTAACACTGTGTTTTATGTTTTTTCTTCCTTCCCATTTTATGTACACGATCAGATCTTGATCCAACACACACAAACAAAATGGAGAACGGCATACAATTGTTGCCGCAAACATCATTAATTATCAACGATTACTTAACACTCAGTTCACCACCCACATATTCACGTTTACCACCGGACGGACATGAATTCCCGCCAAATTTCAGTGAACCACTAATAATGCCTACACCCAATTTACTAAAGGCTGCCAGCCTAATGCAATCCACCACAACTACCATGACAACAGCGAACAGGCATGGCAGCAATGCACACACAAACACAGTTTACACTGAAAAATTATATGCAGCAGCCACTGCTGGCCAGACCACGGTTGCCAGCACACGCACCACACATATAGCCAGTTCCACAGCAAACGGATTAACAACGTCAAAGGTCAGCGTTGAGATGGAACAGCAAAAATCACCACAAATTTCTAATACAGCAGTTGATGCAGTACCACCACCGCTACCTAAATCGGTGCCACCACCAACAGTACCACGTAAAGTATATCGACAAGATTTGGTCGTCAAAGTAGAAGATGCACGTACCGATTTGTTGCAACCTAAAGTCGCACCTACAACTCCTGCACCAACCACAGCTAGCCCTGCCAAGTTAATCTATGAGTCACGTCATAGCCGTTCCACACAAAATCTCACGGCAGCCAGTACACCTACAAGCAAAGCAGATACTGTAGCAGCTTTTGGTGCCAACGTTGACTATAAACGTTCCTTAAGTGCACCACGCAAACATAGCGATTGGCGCAAGGATGAAAAATCAGAGAAAAGTGTACGCGATAAAATTGCTATGTTTTCAAACGAAGACGTTTCACTTCCCGACACACCATCGAAACCATTGACATATTCGCGCACAAACAGCAGCTCAGGAAAATCATTAAATTTAAGCACAGAAAATTTACTGGACTCGACGTCCAGCACACGTTACAATGTAGGTTCAAATTTGACTAAGGCACGCGCTATGAGTGTAGAGAATTTAAATGATGCAGCACGCCAATACCAGCTAGCAAAACAGTTACCTACACAAACTTATTCCGATTCAATGTACTCATTGAACACACTCAATACAGATTACACACAAAGTTACGCTTCATTGCCACGACGCCACCCAGCGGTACATCACTTAGAACGACGCACCAGTTTTTCCGGTCAACCAGCTTATGTACCGGATGAAGCGTCACGCAAGGCAGCTATAACAAATATATTAGAGCAAAGACGTCGTAGTTTATCAAAATTGCGTGGTCTAGTGATACCCGAACGTCCACACATACCAATGTCCACATTGGAACCCATTTTGGATTTGCCAGAGATCAAAAGTCGTGATAGTGAGAAAATAAAATCGGGCAACACATCATCTACAGATTCAACAGACAGTGGTTTAAGTTCCGGTAGTACTTCAACGCATGCACCCAGACCAGCCAAACGCACAGAATTTACGCACAATTCGAACCTTAACAACTCGTTACGCCCACTTAGCGTGTCAACCACTGGTAACGCAATGCATGTGCCTACAAACAATCCATACCGCAGCATTTTCGCACAAAACTCAGCCAATCGGCATAGTACCAGTCAAACTCCAGTCGTTGCACAGCGTAAGATAGAACCAGCTTATGCCGGTGTACCTCCTGCAAAGCCACCACGTACTTCATTGAATGTACCTTCTCGTCATCTGCACGAAGAAAGTGATTCTGACTCTGTATTTTCTTCCAAGATCTCTTCACCTCCAATGTCACCAAGCGTACCAGTAGTGCCCGAGAAATTCGCGCTCACCCGTACACTATCATCCGAAACAAATACCTCTATTGCTAGCTCCACAACATCGACACTCACATCTGGCTCCGGTTCACAAGCAAGCTGCAGCTCTATTGGTAGCACTCCTACTGTAGACTTATCCAGGCGCGTACTTAAATCAGGTTCAAATGAATCAGCCGCCAATCGCAAAAACATCTTAGCCTCTGCTAAATGTCGTAACGGACGCGGTGATTCTTCGGCTTTAATGCGCAATCGTCCCTATGACGACGAAGACAGTACTGATTGCAACGATGAAGATGAAATACGTCGTGTGCACAAATCCAAACCACGTTCCTCTTCAGGTGGCTCCTTAGTTATGCAGCCAAACAAAATTATCTGCACAACAGCGCCCATCAGTTATAAAGTCGCTTCGAAACAAGATGAAAGCATTGTCGATAAGGTCATTAATGTTGCCGCCTATGTAGAAGTGACATCCGATACTGACGACAGTAGTCGTAAGTCGGATGCTGCTACTTCACCAACTAAAGTCAGTGCCATGTTTATCGATGAAGAACGAAAGGCGAGTTTCAAAGCCGATCCATCACAAAAAGCTTCGTCTCCAAAAGCTGTAATGCCAGCAAAAATTGTTTCTACTGTGAGTTCCGTACCCGTGCAACCAATCAGTCCACAAAAAGCAATGGAGGCCACTTCTCCAATATCCAAAAAATGCAATAATGACACAAATGAGCTATCGCAATGGATGCGTGTAGAAGTTGCGAAAACCGTCACAAAAACACCAGAACGCACACTTAAGCCGGTATTCGAAAAACTAGAATCAACAAATACAAAAATCTACAGCAGTTACAGCTCAAGAAGCGGAAGTAATACTAGCAAAATAACAACTGCCGAAATACGTGAAAAATTTGAAAGAAGCGCTGCTGCCTCAGGTACGACAATATCGCCGACCGTTTCAACAAATAGTTTGCTAAGCACAAAAATTCACACCAGAACTAATTATCACGAACGCTTCTCGTCATTGGATTCAGTGACTTCGTCATCGTCTGGTGTTAGTTCTAGTACACAAAATATTTCCGCTCAAGACAACAACAACGAGTTTGGCAGCTTTTCATCGCTTGGCAGCAATCAGAGCTTGATCACTGCACAAGATATACAACTTATTGTGGAAGAAGCTGATCCACCATTAAAAACACCCGAAGCCTTTATTATTGTATTACAACGAGACACACCCGAAAGCAGCATTGGCGTTACATTGGCCGGTGGTTCAGATTATGAAGCTAAAGAAATCACGGTAAGCATTTCTAATTTATATTAAGTACAAAATTGACTAATTAAGTATCCTTAATTTTGTTAGATACATAAAATTCTAACGAACACACCAGCAGCTAAAGACGGACGTCTTAAGAAAGGAGATCGCATTTTGGCTGTCAATGGTATGAGCATGAGAGGATTAACGCATCGTGAGTCTATAACTGTTTTGAAGGTAATATATACTATATATTTAAATCGGAGATAATTTATGATAAATAGAGAACATTAATTTAATAAATTAATTATAAATAATTTTTATATTAAATTCTTTATATTAACTAAAACTTATATTTGAATTTTAGACACCACGTCCAGAGGTTGTCTTAGTTGTGACTCGTTCCGAATCAGTTGTTGTAAAAACAATGAATAAGAAACGCTCATCGCTCGGCTCACTGTCCTCACTTAACGAGAAACCCGCCGAGGTGGATTATGAGAAGAAAAGAAACTATCATAAAGCATCACGATCATTGGATCTTGATTTAGATATAGTATCCGCTGAGGATGATGTCGCACAAACAAAAACACCTTCAACTCCAAGTACAGCCTCAAGCAGTCCACAGCCACCTTCATTGGCTGCAACTATTAACGATGCCACGACAATAGCGAGCATACGTGCTAGACGTCAGCTTTCACGTGGTGATGCCAGCAAACTGAGCACTAGTGAACTATTAGAAAGAGCCGCAGAAACAAGAAATGCCTTAGCAGCAGAAATCAGAGCTCAAGGTAAGTCTCAAAATGAGCTTTTTTTGACTTTAAGTAACTCTTAAATGTGCTAAATAGATTTTAAATTAAAATATAATTTAAAATTACTTTAGATTTAAACGTCAGTTATGGGGTAGTGTCTATTTTACTTAATGAAAATTATTTTATTTAATAGGGAGGGTTTGAACTGTATTAAATTGCAACAACAAACATTTTTATTAATTTTTAAATAGTTGAATTTTTCAATTCAAATTCAAACTCTATATAAAACATAATTTACAAACAAAAATATTAAATATAAAATTAATAAGAAAATTTTTATCAAATCTCAGAAGACGGTCCTGCTGGTTCCAAAACAATAGAAATTGTTAAGGATAGCTGTGGTCTTGGTTTCTCAATTGAAGGTGGCTTCGACTCTCCAATTGGTAATAGACCATTAATTGTGAAGAAAGTTTTTATGGGTAAGTGCTGAAAACTATTTTCTATCTAATCATACATTGACTTACCTTCTCTTTTCAAAACAGGTGGTGCTGCACAAAAAACTGGTCAAGTTAGAAATGGCGATGAAATCCTTTTTATTAATGGCGTGCCCACAGCTAAAATGACACGCGTTGATGCCTGGAACTACATGAAACAACTGCCGTTGGGTCCAGTTCGGATTGTATTTGCCTAAAAGAATAAACTAAAATTATTAAAAAAAGCAACGAAAATATTTGTTAGAAAGAAAAAATTTTGTTAAATTTAGTTTTTTATAAAATTAGTTAACTTTTAATTATTTTAATTAAATATATATATACATATACTTTTTGTTTAGTTAGTCTCTATAACATTTAAATATTAACTTAATTATAATATGTTATTATTGTATATTACATTTGCAAATAAAAAATTTCTTTTATGATTACATTTTTAATATTTTTTGTTAATATATTAAAATTTTGTAAATTAAAATTTTTTACTTGCCATTAAATAATTAATTTTTTTAAATAATTTTTGAATTATTTTATTTAAAATGACAAAATGACAAAAATTATTGACTCCAAAATTTCAAGAACATATGGCATTAAAATGCATTTAATATAAAATATTTTTATAAACCAATTTTGTGTTTATTTACTTTTACATTGTGCAATTTACCTTATTTTACTAAGTTTTTCTCATTCAAAAAAAAATTTAATTTAAATAAAAAATTTATATATTTAAAAAAAAATTATTATTTCTTAGGGATTTTAACTTTCGTCACTGAATTTCGTGCGCTTTGTACCTATTTTAATAATTGTTCATTTATTTAAATAATATTTAATAAATATTTTGTATTTATTTTATATTTTTTTGAAATTGATGCTTTTTTTTAAAGTTTAAATTTTAAATTTTCTTCAAATCAATTTGTTTTGCTTTATAATTTTAGTTCGCCATAATTTATGCAAATATCAAAAATTATTTATAAATTAAAATTATAAAATTACTCTTAAATATTGGTTTAAATTAATAGAAATGTTAAAATTTGTAAATGCTTAATATTAATTATCCTTATATGACTAATTATTATAACTATATAGAACGATCGTTATACATATATATGATATATAAAATTATTGACAATTAAAACAAAAAACTAAAAATGTATGCTATTTATATTATTCTATTATATATTTACATAACCAATATATTATATTCGAAAAATGGAAACCCTATATATACACACTTATATATTATTTTAAATAATTGAAATTATATTTATATCATGAAATGATTAAATAAAATCAATAAAATATAAAAATAATAATACCGGAATTTTATTACATTACTCAAATAAATAACTTAATTTAATAATGTTTCTTTTTTGTTTGGCGATAAGTGGAAAACATAAAAAACCAACATATAAGACTTTAAGTCACTAACCATATCTTAGAAATCAATAATAAAGAAACCGATTATTTGACCGGGAAGACCATAGTGCTAACATGTTAATAGACACAACTCAGTTTAGGTATATATATTATCTAAGCCAAACCGCGAAGACGGCAGTGAAGGAATAAGTTAGACTATTAAAGGAGTTGTAGTTATTGTAGGAGTCACAGGTTATTAGGTACTAGTTCTTATCCAAAAATTGAAATTCGACTGCAATTAACAGTAGTTAAAATAGTAGTAAACAAGTAGTGAAGTATTTACATTTTTACAGAGCTTTTATAAGGCAGAATCCTTACTCGATTCGGAAACAAGTTCTTAATAAAGTTATATTCCTTATAAATCAAATATGATAGATAATAATCTATACATTTATATAAATCATTGATTATATAAATCAATTATGGTAGATAATAATCTATATATTTATTTAATAATAAAAAATTTGTTTACATGTAATATTTTAAACATCACTATCAAATTGAAATTATTACAACTTATATTAATAAATCAATAATAATTCATTCAAAAAATTGTTATGAATAAAGCTGTGTAGGTATTAATTCATGACCCTTTCTATAAGACCGTAAAGTATGATAAATGGTAATACGAGTATTACACCGTTTCTTTGATATTCTTAAAAAGTCATAAGAAGATATAGTAACGTTCACCTAAATACTATCCAGAAGGATTAAATATCGTGATATTAGTTACTTAAGCTTCTTCATATAAAATCATACAATCAAAAAATAATATTTTTTTAGTGCCTGAAAATTTTTTCATATATCTAAAAATTACTAAATATATTACAATATAGATTATAATTTTGAATTATGAGAATTAGCCATCACACAGTGAATCAATATCTTCTTATTGGCTCCAGTCTTATTTTTTTATTATTCTATTAATATTTTTATAAAAGCTCTTTATTTAAGTATAATAATCTTACAAATGAAATCACGACAAAAATTCGAGGTCTGTAAAGAGAATACTGATAGCCTCGCTGTATCGTTATCTTCAATTACTTAAGTAATCTTTGGTTCGAACTTCAAGAATAAGTATTACTCTATTTATATTAACTATAATTTAGTGATCCCGAAAAGAGGATACTTTTAAGTTACTTTAGTATTAAATAATGAATTTCTTTTGTAGAAATAAAAATGTCGTATGACAAAAATCTGTCAAATAAGATAATTCTTTGATGATATTTTCGAACAACAATTCAATAATTCATTTGATCTAGTCATGAGTTCATTAGACCCAGCCATGATACTCAATTTATTATTATGATGCAATGTATCTATCATATTTATATTGATCTGTACAGATGACAACTGGGAAGAACAACCACAATGATATTTATGGTTCTGAAAAATTTAATCAGCTCAATTATTAAATGCGGTAGTCATCTGCAAGGAACATTAGTAATAGTTTTTCAATTCTCTAATCGATTCTTCTAATAAATACATTATCCCAAACCATAATGCATACGGAGGGCTTGCAATATATATCAATATTATATCTATAGCATGGCGTCACTAAAAAAAGATGCAGATCAATCAAAATATTTATAAGATGGTAGTTAAAGATACTTTGAGTCAAGAGATTGATTTTATAAATTTTACAAAAAGAATACACGCTATCTTTTGTGTTCAGATAATTGTAGTTATTCTCATAGTTCGGTCATTTTCTTCGTAACATTATCCGAAATAATAGATTATATTTTAAATTTTTTAAATATACCAACTAATTATTCAATATTATTACAATGCCATTAATTTCAGAATTATAAACTAAATAAAAAAATATCTTAAAGTTTCAAATTAAAAATTCTAGATTTCTGATAGCCATCATAAAATAATAAGTTGACATAAATAGTTATTAAAAAAAATAAATCTTATACCAAATTAAACAAAAATAAAAAAAAATTTGAGTTATTTATTGTTTTTATTGTATTTAGCAAAATTCAACTGTTTAAAATATAAGTGTAAGTGAAGAACGCAAAATGTTAGTGAAAAGCAATAAATATTATAAAACAAAAAACAATTAATTTCTTTATCTTTTTTATTGTACTTTGAACTCTGATTAGATATTTTAATAAAATTTTAGTAAAATTATCTGATTTACATTGCCTTTGTTTTGGAAATGACTAATGAAGTTGATCACCTCTCACCTCATCGCTTCACATTAGAGAATTACTTGACTAGGCAGACTGCGTGGCGCTCAGAGGAAAAAGTCGTATGACTGATGATCAACATTCAAAAATATTTAAATTTGTGATGGCTAACTGAACAGTAAAAGTCATAAAAAAATATAAATAAATTGTTGACAAATAAAATTATAATTGAAAAAGAAAACTAAAAATACAAACAAGAATTAGTTAAACAAAATATATCATAAATATTGTTTTTTTTCAAACTTAATTACAAACAAAAATATAAAATAAAAATATTAAATATATTTTAAATATTATATATATATATACATATATATATATATTAATATAATTAATATACATAATTATAAATTATAATTAGATATATATACTTGTCACCACATCACTGCATCCTTTGAGGATTATTGTGACGTACCCACTTTAGTTCTATAGACGAGTAGTAGTTAAGAACGCCATTATGTCCTTTGGAGAGATGTTGCCTAATAAGTGGATAGGTAGTGGATAAGTACCAAAGTCGGAGTCTGGCGAAACTATTTATATTGTTCACTTGAAAGCGGGTGAAAAATATTTGCCAAATTTTTTTATAAAAGATTCGTTATAATTCAAATAAAGTTCATAGAAAGAGAAAAATTAGTGTGCACTCTCTATACAAAGCAACTAAACATAAGCTATACTATTTCTACTTGAAGTCAATAATTAAGGTCACCAGGTTTTCTGCATGAAATATTAAACTATGTATTCTATTTATGAAGAAGCTGAACATAGGCTATAACACTTTATTACAGTATTAACCAAAATAGATGGGGTGTCCTCCTGTTACTAAGGACAGTAAGAGCATATTGACTGATTTCTTTCCTGCCTTTGAAACTATTTTTAATAAAGAAATTTTTCAATGCTTTAAGTAATAGCCAAGGGTAAAGATACTCTTGTAGAGGAAACCTAGAACCAATAAGACATGGTCAGGTTATTGTAGTTTAATTTTACCTATAACTTTATCATGTACCTATATGTGAATTTTTTGAGTTTAAGAAGATTCGAGTGTTCTTCTGGACATCAGATATGATATTTTTAATTATAGAAAGAAACTTCTTTGTGGTAGATTGAAAACATGTTGCACTTAGAATTATTGGAAAGATTGTCGTTCTAGTTTATATACAGAACGAAGAATTTAAACGAACGAAGTCAGAAACTCTAATTCAGTTAGTAACAAAACACTAAAAACTGCGAGATATATTAAAATACAACAAATTCTAACTTACAATACAAAAGAGTACTACAGTTAGATTTACGCAGCCGAAGGATTTTAAGATATGGAATATCTTGCTACTATATCTTCATGGGAGTACAATATACCTATACTTATAGGTGTATCTATTTAGCACATAGACTTCTCTTCAGTTGATAACACTTTAATAAAAAGTATTGAAAGGTCAAAAATAATTTTTGTTTATAACAGCATTTTTTTTTAATAAACGAATATGTTAAACAAATTCTTCTAAAGAATTTATAAATCAATTTTAATTATTAAAAAAATACAATAATTTGTAATGCAAATACATAAAGTACATTTAATCATAACTGAATGGAAAACGTTCAGCACGTTTTTTTTGCCGGAACCAGCAGATCTGTTATATTTTTTTTATTGATTCGGAATATTTAAACGATAAAAATGTGGAATTCATAGCCCAATGTTAATAAGATTGTAACAAGTATTCAATATGTTGACTCCGCAAACTAATTTATATATAAGGGAGATGTAAAAAAAAAAAAAAATTTCAGTATATCACAAAATTATATGAGTTTACTAACGGAGTGAAAAAGCCATCAATATTACATATTCCATTAAACTTAATAATCATTTCCTTAGTTTCAATAAGTCTTTTTATGTTAATAAATCTGCAAACCATAGGAGAATTATAAATTTACTCATTTGACAATGAGATGAGAAACAATAATTATGCCATTAAAATACAACTGTTGTAAAAGCTGCAGTAATAGTTGCATGCGCACAAAAATTCCAAATGAAATTATATCAGTATCGTAATCTAACGGCAAAATTATTGCTTTATCAATGGAGTAAATTTATAATTCTCAAATGGTTTGCAGACATATTCCTATAAAAAGAATTATTGAAACTAAAGAAATAATAAATAAGTATTAAGTTTAATGAAATGTATATAGTATTAAAGGTTTTTTGCGTTCCATTAATAAATTCATATAATTTTGTGATATGCTGGAATTGTATTTTTTTTCTCCCTGATATATAAGTTAGTTTGCAGAGCCCAACATTTTAAATATTTGTTACAATCTTATTAACATTGGATTATGAATTTCACATAAAATTCTACAATAAAAGCTACGACATTTTGCCTGGGCTTAAACTGGAAGATTGAATTTTTTTTATTTCAGCACGAGTTCCACTGAGTTGAAACTTTTATGAATAAAATTTGAAAGTTCAAACACAGTTTTTATTTATGAAAAATGAGTTTTGGTTTAGCAGATGAGCGTATAATTATTGTTCAAAATAATATATAAAACCATTTTAGTCATTAAAAAAAAATCAAGTTGTAAGAAAATGTAATATTTATATTTTACATTGTAATATATAAAATATATTTAATTGACATTAAACTAAGAATTAAAAAATCGTTACTTTTTACTGGAACAACACCCAACAAAGAAATAATATTTTTTTTTAAATTGAACCGAAATAAGAGCTGCTACGATAAAAAAGTATATCTTAAATGTAGATCTTCAATGTGTTGATTCTAAATTAAAGTTCTCCCTCGCAAACATGAGCACTGGCTTAAGTAAACACTGGATTAAATGCACACCTATACCTAACATTTACTCCTCTAAAATGTGAACGAATTTCTAAAACGTGAATGAAATTCTTAAATCTGAACAAAAGTTTTGGACTTAATTAGTTCACGTTTTCGAGAAAACACTGTAATGAGATCAAAACATTTTCTTTTATTTTGATATGAGTTAAAATATTTATTAGTTTAGTCTGAAGTTTGAATTCTAAAGCAAAACAATAATTAAAAACGCAAAATTCATAGCATACTTTTGTGATGAATAATGTGCATTAATGTATATTTTAAACTTTTTATTAGATATTTATAAAAAATTATTATATTTAAAATTATAAATTACATTAGAAATGTTTATTATTTATTAAAAATTACTAATCATTTGCTTAATTGATGGTTGAAAAAATTGCTGATGCAATTTGCATAATGCATAATGCAAGCTATGATTTTAGGCGAAAATAAAAATGTAAAAAAATATTATTTGAAGAGGCAAATCCCATGCTGAAAAATAATCTCGACTGTTAAACTTTAAATAAAATAAAAATATATGTGAGGAATTAAAGTAAAAAATGAAATGCAAAAGTTCCATGTTATCTTGTTATTAAATAATTTATATTAAATAATTATTGGAAAGTTTATTAAAGAAAACATTTTCTCATACACCTTATAATAGATGTATTCTTTTGACATGAATGCTCCAAAAAAACTCTTGTCTCTTAAAAATTAACGCGCAAAGCAAAAACAAAATTTGCAAAAAAATCCCATTTTTCTGAAAGTAAGCCATTGGTACTAGCTTGGTGCCAAATCTTAAAACTGATCTATTCTGAATGATTTTTGGAAGAAAATGAAAAGTTCCAGTCGGATGACAGAGACAAAAAATAATTTTTTAATAAAATTTATAAAGATGACTGATGAATTAGTAATTATTAAGAAGTTTTTAATATATTATTAATAAAGAATTTATAATTTCTCTATTATGATTATCAATAAATGCAATATATAAATAAATACAAAACACAATCGTTACAATTAAAGCAAAAAGTTATACGACAATTGCCCGAAAAATAAATCATTGTTAAGTACTGCTCATTTATTATTAAAAACTGATATTAGAAGTTTAAAAATGATATAAACGAATGCAGATCTCGTATTGTCTTCTGAAGAGCTGGAGCTATAAAAAATGTCAAATATTTGGTCAATGTATCGCTCTCTTTGTATCCTTATTTCATTATTTTTCTCCGTTATCATGGATAAAACCTAAAAAAAATGTATACTTTTATCAAAATTCAAATTCATACAATATAAAATGCTCACCTACCTATAACTTTTTTGTTTCATTCATTTTATATATATTTATATATAAAAAAAACTTTTTTACAAAATTATCTACAGGTATCCTCCCATCCGCCTAATCACTTTAGGCGCTTTCTTTTTTGAAAATCTTGGTGAACTGCAAGACCTCGCCCTGAATAGCATTTTAAGCTTTGCTAAAGGTTCTAAGTGGTTCTAACCTTTAAGTTTCTATTTATACGATAACACAATGCGGCTACAGACATAAGTAGATCCCTTGGAATCGCTGATAAAACCTAACCCTAACCTATCTGCGCCACAAATTTGTTTCAAATTTTTTTATTTTTTAATAACCGTGGTAATGTACCCTTCGCTATTATGTCTTTTTTTTTTGTAATCTATTTGAGATATTACAAACTCAGGAAATGTAGTTTTTGTTCTTTTTTAATTTGCTTCTCTAATAATCAAGAAATCCTTTTTAGTTCTCTTTCCAAGCCACAAAAGTGTTCTGGACTCATAAGTAATGCTACTGTTCTTTTTCTAGTAAGCTTGTCTACATCTCAATATCCTTAATCCGAACAGGCCCCGAAATGTTTAATATTCTTATTTAAATAATTTCAATAATAAAACTAAATATTTTTTGAGATTCACCTTTACAGGTTTCGAAATAACCGATTGGAAATTTCGATTCACTTTCGATTTTAGTGATTTAATGATAGTCTGGCTTTCACTCAAGATGGGTACAATATGGTTTCGGTAAGTTTGTTTAAGGTAAAATCAACACACGTATCATTTTCCCTTTCTGGCTAATGACTAAACACCAAACATAAGTATTTATAGCTCATATAGCCGCATACACTTGAAAGATGCCAATGTTTTGCCTAAGGATTTAAGTATCCTGTCTCCGGGTCAAAACCACTGTCATGCTCCCTTCGCAAATGAACAAACAGTCTCCATACAATGTTTTCATATATTGGTTTAGTATTTAAGTTTGAAATATTTTTTCGTAATAATTTTTGTAGTTAAACTGAATTTTAATAAAATATTTTATAAAATTAATTTTATAATATTAATTATTATATGTTTTTTTTATTCTTACTGATCTGATCTTATGTCGTTAATTTAAAGTATAAAAATTATAAATGTTTTTTTAAATAAAAAATTACATACACTAATAAATTTGTGTTAAATATTTAATTGTATTTTAATGTTTATAAAAAATAATTTATAAAAATTAATTTTATTAATTTTAATTAATTTAATTACAAAAATAATTTTTTATGAAAATTAAAATAAAATTTAATATTAACACAAAATTATAAGTGTAATTTTTTAGTTAAAAAAACATTTTCAATTTTTATGTGTTAAATTAATAAACTAAGCCCAGTATTAATAAAAAAAACGTATTAAATATTTGTCGAAATAACAACTTATATATAATTAATTATTAATTATAATTAATTATTTAATTATAATTTAAAATATATATCATATTTTTTTGAAACTTATAATAAAATAAAAATAAAAAAATAATAAATAAAAAGAAAAAATAATAAAAAAAAATAAAAGATTTTTAAAAAAAAATAATAAAAAAATAAAAACAATAAAATTATAATACAAAAAAAAAAATACCAAAAAAATAAATAAAATAATATTAAATTAAAAACAATTATTGTATATAACAAAATTTATTCACATATTAAAAAAAAGTTCTGAGAACATCTGTTAGATCTAAACGAAAAGAAAATGATAACATACATAATAGTTATTTATTTATATATATTTATTTATATATTCCTTTTAATATATAACAACGATTTTTTACAAATATACTCACTTAACTGTAACAACAATATAAAAGTCACTTAATAATTTAATAAATATTTTAGTAAAAAAAAATTAAGACCATAAGGCACTCAGATTCTCTTATAATTTAAGTAACAAATTTAATGAAATATGTCTTATAAGGAGATTTTATTAATATCGAAAGTAATTAATTTATAAATTAAATTTCTGCAATTTTAGGTTTTTTTTATTGAGTTGGTAACAAATTTTTTCCTAAAATATAAATAGAATTTATAATTTGAAGATTGATTCAAATTTTATTTATTTTAAAATTAATTATTTTGTTATCAATTATTTTATAATTAATTATTTTATAATTAATTATTTTTTAATTAATTATTTTATTATCAATTATTTTATAATTAATTACTTTATAATTAGTTAATTTAGTTACATTTTAAAATAATGAATTATACGTTATCGAAATGAGACCTATTCCTCTATTCAAAAAAAAAAAAATAAAATATAGAAGGAAATCATACGTCCTGACTTGTTGCACATATTCATGTGCTAATATAATTACTTTTAGTATAAAAAAAAAATATTTAGAATCTTATACGATTATGAAATATTTGTTAAGTACTACTACTCTCAGCACAGTTTAATTATGTCTACTTAACCTGTGTTTGCCCTTCCAGGCTAAAGTACTAATAATTACTACTGGTTTTAATTACTATAACCAATTAGGTACATCGTGATATTTGCTAATTCTAATATTTAACATTTTTATAATAAACTAGAAATATCTACATAATGACTTAATTTTAAATTAAATATTATCATGAGCTTCTTCTTTAATAGTAGTTGGTATAACACTACCCAAATGGATGTTACGCATGGAATTTCCGATTTGCACAAAAGAGGTCCCTGATGACGTTAACGAGGTAGCATTGCCAACACGTCTTACATTATCTCTATTGTCAAAATTAGTTTGAAAAGTATTTTTAATGAAGGCATTTACTTGCTGTAGATCAGTTTCGCTCAACTTCCTTATATTATTCAAAGTCTCCTGAAAATTACTATTTGGTCGAGTTGCATAATTAATATTTGGAAAATCTGAATTCGCATCAAATACTTCCTCCAATGATTGATAGATTTTGCGTTTAAATATAATTTTTTGACGTGCATTCATGATCTTCATATCTGGTAGTAGGGTGTCGAGAAATTTTACATCTACATCGGCGACAGGTAATGACCAACTATCATCTGATTTACTCATTTTCAATTCGCTACCGGAATGTTGGAGTTGCTCTTCAATAGAACGTTTACGCTTTCTGGCTGGTAATACGCGTTCATTACTTTTAGCTGCTACTTGATTATTATTCTGTTGAGCAGTATTAGTTATACCTTGTAAGTCTATGCCCATATGTTCAGTTGAAATATTTTCTAATAAATCATATTCCATATCTGAATCAATTTTAACCTGGGCCATGGGATTTGAACTGTCATTGTCTTCATATAACAATGTTACACAATCTTCTGGATCCTCTGTTAGTTCCACTTCAACATCATTTGGTGCAATATCATCCGCCTCTTCATTCTCTATATGTAACATTACTCTTCCTTTAATACCCCCTTCAGTCATGGGTTTCAATAAAAAGCGTAACTCTTCATATAAGTAGTAAGGCTTTACCCGATTCGGACCACTATACGTTTTGTAAATATTTACAGATCGAGCAAATGCTGCACGTATATTACGCCAGCGTTCCTTACATGAAGCAACTGGAAATTTAAAACAAGAAATTTAATGTCAATAAATACAATATTTTATGTCACTTTTTCGAACAACGATGAATTACACCACTCAAGAACAGTCACAGCCAAGAAAAAATCTAGAAGTTATCATTACGAAGGCAGGAAAGTGGAATAACAACTACTGGGGTACATTTGGACAAATATCAAACGAACATATACCTGCTAGTATAGTAGTTAGCAAGTAATTCCGGGACGTATAGCAGATCATCCCAAAAATGTTTAGAATCGACACATTGAAAAAAAAAAGTTGCTCCGCCTCGGCCCAGACTAATTTCAATCACCACACACAAACCACCATCATTATTTTTGATCGCAAACTACTCCTGCCAATTCCTAGGTTATATATCAACAATAACTATGACTAAGTCATTTTAATCTTCTGCTTTTCTAAGTGTATTATTTTACCATATAAATATGTTTCGTAAAATTTTGATTTACAACTTTTTAAAGTTTTAAATATCTTATAAGAACATCGCTAAATTAGCTCATCCCTCCAAACTTAGCAACGACATATTATTTATAGAGTATCGATGTCTTCAACCTTCAAAACGTATTTAAAATATACAATCCATAAGCACATTAAAAAAATTCAAATAAAAAGATCTGCTTTTGGTCTAAAACTATCTGTATAAATAGTATAAAACTATCTGCACTGACAACTGCCATTAGAGATATAAAGAAACATACATAAAACAAATCAACTTGTTCTGACAATAATCTACCAGAATTTTTAAAGAATATGTATTAGGTGTAGTAAAAAGAAATCCATTTCCTAATATATGGCTAGTTATCTGTATTCCGCGTTGTGTAAGTCCAATCGGGTTACGCTAGATTGCATTAGAAAGATGAAATTTTGTACCAGAAAAAACCGTTGACAATTTGGTAATTGGTTGACTCTATTTTGTTTGAGAGCGTGTCAACGATGGACACTAGTAAAGAGAAAATACGTCATATTTTTCAGTTTTTTCGTCAAATTTAGCATGGCGGCTGAAAATGTGAATAGTGTTTATGGTCCTGACAGTATCAACTGTAACAGCCCATCATGCGCAATTTTGGTTTCGTTTCGATTCCCGATTCTGTTCCCGTAATTTCTATGTCAACAATGCACCATACACTAGAAGTGTTCCATCAGCACAATGCTAAGTCATACAGCTTACTTAGGAAGTTCTTATGCATCCACCTAATAGTCCAGACCTGGCGTCTAGTGATTACTACATGTTCCTGTCCATGTTGAACGATTTTTCTGGTGAAGAATTCGCCGTATATTACAAATCTATATTACACATATATACATATATTACACGTATATTTATATACATGTATATGGTATATATTTATATTAAGTAATTGGGTAGCAGTTTATGTACTTGGGTAACAGTTTTCTAACCAGATTGCTTATGGTTAGAATAAATTCACATTTGGGGCATGTTGGTTGTTCATCCCTTTTAAGCAAATGGATGTGAGTTAGGTTGGAATTTCCTAGTATTGCTGTTATGATATTATCATATATATATTTTGTTATTATATGAAGAATAGATGCTATTGTTTGAATATTGAATGTATTTAATTATAGTACAAAATATAATAATATAATATGAAACAATAGTATGAAAACAATTAAGGAGTAGGTGATATACTCTTTATAGCATCTATTCTATTTTTAAAAATTTAGTAGAATGATCTAAAGCCATGGCAACCAAACTTTTTGTTGAGAGAGAAAGTAGATTCTTCATCAACATTCTTCATCGTCAATAAGTGGAAAGCAAACATTGTTTCGAGTCTTATAAGGCATGCACAAGTCACTAGATGTAAACCCGGATAATTTTTTGGCATATTAATATGCTTGGGAGACATATGTCTATCAATAACTAAGTGTTAATACATTCTAAAAAGTTTTCCTTCGTAAATGATTGAAGATTGGATAATTTCACATTTGTGAAGGCTTGCAATCTTTCAAATAATATATAACGCAAATGGAAAAAAGTAGAGGCTGTCCAATTTGTGACAAAATGTGACATGTGAGGAAGGGAGGTAGATTAGTGTTCTATATTACGTTTATTCAATTATATGCCATTTACTTATTTTAATATGTACATATAATTATGTTTTTTATATAATGAAATTAATCATAACATTGTTTACTTTGCCTCACAAAACTGATTATTATTATAACATATAACGTTAACGTCAACATATAATTAAATATCATTTACTTAATATTTATGCACATTTAATTTATTCTCGTTTTGTTTTTATTATTAATAAGTATTTATTTATATTTGATTTCCGTTTTTTTTAAATTATATTTTTATCGTTCATTTTATTTTTTTTCAATTATAACATTTTCTTTGTAAATGCCTAGGCCTGACAATATTAAAATAATCTAATATGAAAGTGAACGAACTGATGAAACTAGCGGACATCTCAAATATAGATCTTCTACGAACTGACGAGCCTAGCGGATACCCCAAAGATATATATTCTACGAACTGATGCGCATAGCGGATATCCCAAATATAGATCTTAAACATTGTTTTAAAATTTTGGTTTTAATAAAGCGGTATGGAGTAACAGAACAGCTACTACTTGAAAAAATCGGAAAGCTCAACCGCCACTAAAATCAACAAGTATCACAAGAATGTATAGTGCGTCATTTCCATGAGGGCGAGTAGAAGTGTACGTCTACAATTTATGGTATAGATTCTAAAATGACACAACTTTGCGATATGTTATGTTTGAACCTTCCTATACGATTCATTTGTCAATCATTTGTGAATTCCTGATAAATCTTAAGAAGTTTCTAAAAATTTTTTAGTTAGTTCAAAAAGATTTATTTTCAAAAAGGAAGGTAACTGTATTTTCTTAACAATTGCAGTTTGATGGGTTCAAATTGTATATCAAGTTTTCTAAAATAAAAAAACAAAAAACTTAAGATTCAAGTAAAAAAACTCCAAGTAAAAACAGAATAATTTTAGAAATTGGTGTTTGAATATTTTAAAAATATATATTAAACATAATAAATTAAATATTATTTGAAAATCAAAAACTATCTTTGTCCTAAGACAAAGAATCTATTTCACGTAAAAAGGAAGTAGGAAATAGCCAAATCCAAAATTTATTTTATTGGTCCCAAAAGTTTATTTGATTTGGACATATTTTCAATTCTTTAGAAAAAGGTCTTATAAATAAATTATTTCAAATTTAAAATACAAGTCAAACGCCCGACATGTATTTTTACTAAGCGAATTCTTGAATTGACTACGGTTCCAAGATTTCTTTTGTTTTGGACATAAGTTCAATTCTTTGAATATAAAACGGAGTACTAATGAAGAAATCGTCAAATCCAAAATTCAATTTATCAAGTGAATTCTCTAACTAACTATACGGTTCAAAAATTTTGTTTAATTTTGTCATATTTTCAAGTATTTAAATAGCAAAGAAGGTAATAGAGAAGTAATTTCTAAATCCAAAATTTTATTTTTTATAAACTCAATTCTTTAGCTGATTATACGACCCATTAGCTATTGCTTTTGATTATAATTTCAGTTCTTCGAATAAAAAGGTACTTATAATAAAAAACGTACCAAATCCAAAATTTTTTTTATCGAACCATATTGTCTAAGATTTTTGATTAATTTGATCATAATTTCAATTCTTTGTATAGAAAATGAAATGATAGGATATTTTCAAATTAAAAATTTTATTTTTTATAAACTACATTTTTGAGCTGATTATACGGTCCAATAATTTTGTTTGTTTGGGCATAATGTCGGTTCTAGAAAAGATAAAAAAAAACAAAAACCAGTATTTTTTTATCAAACAAATTCTTGGACTAACCATACGATTCAAGAATTTTAATCAACGTGATCTTAATTACAATTCTTTGTATAGAAAAAGATGTAATAGCGATGAAATTTCCAAATAGAATTAGGAATAACAGTGAGGAAATTTTCAAATCTAAAATATTTTTTTATTAATTGAATTATATCGAGCAAGTTGAGTCCTTCAGATATCTTGGACCAGTAATAAACCCAACCAATAACTGCATTCATGAAATAAATGTAAGAATAAAGGCAACAAATAAAAACTTTGGTGGCCTATTTAAAGCACTAGGTGCAAATATTAAGAATACATAAAATCTCCGATCTTAATGGTAGCAAAGTGTTGGCAGAAGCACTAAACATCAAAACGCGCAGAAAAGAAATAATAGCGGTGCATAGAAGGGCGGGTATACGTATCACATTAGCATATCGCACTGTCTCGGCGGAAGCAGTTTTTGTAATAGCAGGTGTAACTCAAATTGATCTTCAAGCAAAGGAGCGTCAAAAAGTATATAACAGGAAAACAAACGGCGAATACACTCAACAAATGGCAAGAGAAAATCAGGACCAAACCATCGAAATGTGGCAACAAAGATGGAACAATAGCACGCAAGGAAGATGGACAGCTAGATTGATACCAAATATAATCACTTGGCTCAAACGAAAATCGGGAGACACAAATTACTATCTCACTCAGATGCTGACCGGACGGATACTTTTGTAAGTACCTATACCGCATGGGAAAAATGGATTTGCCCGACTGCATTTATGGCGATGGAGACTGTGACGACGCAGAGCACACCTTCTTTTACTGTTATAGGTGGCTCACAAATAGAGAAGAGACAATAGTGCAAAGATACGTGGAGGAATTTTAAAAGTGAGGCCAAGATTCAACTAGGATCAATGCGCCACTAATAATGACGATGAATTCTAGAATTGTCCAAAAATTTTATTTGATTTGGACATAATTTCAATTTATTGTATAGAAAAGTAAGTAACATAATAGTGAGGAAATTTCCAAATCAAAAATTTTATTTTTTAGAAACTTAGTACTTGAGCTTATTTTACGCCCAAGAGTTTTATTTAATTTGGACACATTATTAATTCTTCGAATAGAAAAGTGGCTAATAGTGATGAAAATATAAAATTTAATTTTTTATTAAGTAAATTTTTCAAACAGAATTTATTTACCTTCATACAGAATTTGTTCTTCTACACAAAAAAAAAAATTATAATAAACACATTTAGCACACCTTTAAAAAAATATCTCCAACACAATAATCAAAAAGTTCTATTCAAAGCTCACAGCAGAGAATATTTCACTCATTTGCTAACAAAAAAGAAATATTAAAATATTTAAAAAAAAAAACTGAATATAAATACTTTTTATAATTATTCTGCTGGTTTAAGCATTGTTGTCTGTACGAATTATCAATACGTGAAATATCACATAAAATATTGCTTACAACGTCATCGCAACAACAACAACAATTTCTACACAACGAATGAATGTTCATGTTTGAGCAAGAAAACGACGTATGAATAACAAAAATCTCATCACAAACGTTTTCATTGAATTTAGTACGATTTTCTATTTATCACGAAGTGAAGTAACTGTAAACAAACCACATGCACACACACACACACTCAAATCTACACTCCCCACTAAAGCGAAATCACACACACAGTGCACAAACTTGCTTTGGCTCTCATAAACCTGTCACATGCGAGAGTACACACTTTCTCTCTCTCGCTCTCTCTCTCGCTGTATTCAATTCACTTTTATTTACCTGTATCATTGCATTCCTTGGCTATTTTCGCCCAGGACTTCTCGAGGATGTGCTTTCTCGCATAATCGCTGTGGCTACGATCATACATCCATGGGCAGCGTTGCACCAAACGACAAAGTTTAGCATTGGCCAAGTAAATTTGATGGCGACTGTCTGCGACGAGATCTGCTGCGTTAATTGCTGCTGCTGCCGCACTAGCTGCTGCTGTGGTGGTGGTGCGATGATGAAATTCGTTGGCAAAAGCATTATTATTGCTAGTGCGGGTATCTTTCTGTGCACCCGCGCTTATCGACGTGTTTAAATCTTTTTTCGGTGGCATTGTAACCGTTTGGTGATTTATTATTATTAAATTTTTTTGAGCAACAACAGAAAATGTTTGAGAAAAAAAACCAGTTTCAATTATAATTCATATCACTGACACCCATTCGAATGTACACATGCATAAAGTGTACGTACTTTTGGTGTGCTTGAATAAAAATTATCACACAAGTTGGTTGGTTGGTTAACTGAGCACAGCACAGCACACCACAGTTTCTTGCTTACACAAGCTGTTATCTTATGCTTTGTCTTTGTCGATGATCCGCTTATACGAACGAGTGAGTACTTCTCGTGCTACACTCAACACATCATCACAGCTATGACTATGGCTGTGGCTATGGCAAGGCAAATACTAACCAACAACACCCGTTACCACTGTTACTACAACGAATGCTCTCAATAAACTAAAAATCGAACCTGCTTGCGAGCGTCAAATGAGTAATGTTAATGATTACTCGTATTTATTATTTTGTAGGCTTGCTTTAAATGTTGTTGTTTGTTGTTATTTTGTTGCTTATTGCTCGTTGCTCGTTGCTTTGTTGTTCTATCATTGCTGAAGAGCAAATTCCAGTAATAAATTTTACAACTCTGGCGAGATATCGTTGCAATTGCTGGCCGAAGCGTTTTTGTATTGAACTTTTTTCTTCGTGATTGTTTTTGTTATTGTCATCAGTACCCACCATTCAACCACTGCGCGAATGCACGTACATATGTCTACACAATACATAATACACAATATTTTCTTATAAGATGTTGGCGATGACGTCGTCGATTTGTGATTATTTCACTTCATTGTGACTAATTCTTATTTGTAATTGATTTCTTATTTGCTTTGTGCTTATGTTGAAAAATCATTTTCTTATTTGCTACTTAGATCGTTTTATTTTTTTTTTGTTTTAGATTTTCATAATAATTTGCATATAAATTGATTTTTTTTTTTTGTTATGGAATCAAAGTACAAATAATGTCTATTAAATATTATTACTTCAATGTTACTATTTAAACTTATTAAAAACATTAAATTTATATGTAAAATAACGATTATAATAAGAGAATTCAAATATCGTAATATCACATATCGTATTAACTTGTGGATCACATAAATTTTAAGATTTTCTTAAACTAAAATATAAATATATAAAATTATTTTATTATTTTTTTAATTATTTTATTATTACAATGATTTTTTTATATGTTTTAAATCTGGCTGTCCTTAATCTGTCCCTTCTTGTTAAAAATAATTAAACGTATAATATTTTTTATTATACTATATATTTCGACTCTCTTTGAGAATCATCATCAGTTTTACGATACATCATCCTATTTGTTCCATCTCTATATCAGGGCTGTCCAGACCATATGCGATCGCGGGCCTATACAAATTAATGTACAGATTGAAGGATCGCAGAAATAAATATATACGTTCATAGTTGTTATATTAAATACGATTATAATGTTAAATTCAGTTTTATTAATTTAAATTCATTTATTTGGTATACCATAAAAATAAAATAAATTAGTTTAATTTAATGAGTAATTATAGTAGATTAAAAATATGTAGCGGGCCGCACAAATATTAGCCGTGGGCCGCATGTGTCCCGCGGGCCGTACTTTGGACAGCCCTGGTCTATATTGTACTCACATACCTGAAATCGACTAAAGTTAATGAAACTACTAAATGTTGTCCTTTATAGTTATAATAATCAACTTTCAACATTTTTCCAGATATAAATGGTGTTTGGAGCATGTAATTTTTAATATTCGATTTGTAAGCAAAAAACATATGATTTCCTTAATTTAGGGTAGTATGAACACTTTCGAAATTAACTTAATTTCATTAAGTTAATGACGGCCAAATAAAGGAAATTTGGCTGTCTGAATATAGTATTAGTGGATTTTAGTTATATAAATTATTTTTTTTCACTCTATTTTAAATTGAAAACAGTTCTTTAAATTCAAATTTAAAAATTTAACTTTTAAAATATTTTCCCGGTTTTATTAAAATCAACTGCCACTGACATATATTTAAAAAAATGTCACATTTTTGTTATCTCAACTTTATCTGTTGCTGTAAATTTATCTTACGCATAGTTGCATTTAAAATGTCCTTTAATTTAAGCCTTCATTTCAACGAAATTTAGGCCATTTTCCTTAATTTCAACTTAATTTCGCTGAATCGAAGATGAAATTAAGATTTCTGCGAAATTAAGGTGGGTCTGAACATAGTATTAGTTAACTTTATAATTAATTTTAATGTTAACTCACAAATAAATAAATAAAATATATATATACCAAGCTTTGACATTATTAAAAATTTTATTATTTATCAGTTATACTTCGCTTAACGGCGTAGTAGTAGAACGTACGCTTTGCGTCCCGGAAAAGTAGAACGTAAAGCAAAAAACTGGATAACAAATCAATTATTTACAATAATTGCTGAAATTGGAGTAATTGTTCCTACAAGTCGCAAATTTCAAACATAAAATTTATTATTATTAATAAAAGAGAAAAATAAAGAAAAACGAAAGCATTATTTAAAAAAAAGAAAAATAATAGATCAGAAGATATCTTATCCCAATAAAATGCTTCCATCCCCAATTCCTGATATTTGCTTTTAATGCTGCCATCCTCCTATCTGCTTCTTTTTGCTTCTTTTCTATTGAAGACCAACTAATGATTGAGTTTACTTTATCTTCGTCAGGATGATTTCTACTGGTTTAACAATATATATATAGCGAGTAAAGCGACTAGCATGAAAGTTGCTAAGTGTTCCATGTGGGCAGTTTCACACCAAAAATTTACCTAACTCTATCCTCTTTAAGTGTGTAAACAAGAAATTATATGATTCTACAGTGGACGCTCACAAATGAGATCGTCCATATATTAATTTCCCAACACTAACTAGACTTTGGTAAGATTTTTGCATCCACATTCACTTTTTCACTAACCATATATACACATATGAATGTAAATGTATCAGCACATTTTTGTTATTAGCGACAGAATTTTAAAATAATATACATATTCACTTTTCAACATAAAAATATTGCCAAATTCTTGCTAGTATAGACGCTGACTCAAAATCTGCTCTTATAATGTATTGAATATTTTTAAACCAAAACTACGCACTTTTTTCTTTGCTTGATGCAAAACGACTTGGCATCTTAAGCATTTTTACTCATCAGTGTCTATGTCGATTCTCCATTATATTATGATAATACGTTTTATATATGTACATACATAAGTATAATTTGAATCTCAACATATCTTTCTGAATCAAAGCAAAAAATAATATCTTCACTTATTAAATACAATATTAGTTGTAATAAATTAAGTTATTTATCTTTTTTTTTTATTACTCCTTTTATCACATTACTAAAAAGTCAAAGCTAATACTTGATCAACAGTAAAACTGAGAACGGGGAATCACCATATTCGTTAAATAATTTTTTGCGGGTGCTGCAAATAAAACCGAATGGAGTGAGTTGTTATAAGCTTTCATAAATTATAACAACTTGAAAAATAGTAGTTTTAATTTTTATGCATCTTCTGTTCCAACGGATTTTATAATGCAATTCACCACCCGACCCTCCCATATATGTACGTACGTATCTCAGGAAACATTTTGACAACAATTGTACTTACAAAATATATACATACATAAGTTGGACCGATGAGAGATCAGAAGCTGTGACAGTCGTGTATAGTAGAATGAAGAGAAAATGTAGACCTTCAATGTAATGTACTTCCTCAAATCTACCATAGTTTTTAACTTAATGCTACTACATTTAATTTAGTCGACTAATATCAATCAGTTGAAATCATAATTTCTTTCAATGTTCAAAGAACTTTTAATCTAAACATTTCGGTATTACTTTAATTAGCTGGTGTAAATACCACAAAACTAAAGAATATTCAATATATATTTTTCATATTATATATTTATATTATTGATTAAAGTTTGTTGCAAATTATTTAGTAAATAATTTAAACTAATTATTCTGAAGACCGAGAGTAATAGTAAAACAAGACTTTTACTACCAGAGATAATACTCAGTATGCATATCTGTTTTTTTTTATATTGTGATTTTACGTCAGTTTAACGTATTTTTAATTTCTATTAAGGAAAATTATAAATAACTCTAAAGCGCAATTTAATTTTTTCTATTTAATAATATGTTAATTTAATGCATTCAGCTCCATATTAGACCGTTTATGGCAATCTTTAATCTAATGGCGTTTTCGATTGGTTAATCTGGATGCAATCAAGATTTATTCTCGGTCAGTCAAATTTTGATACCCAGTCGAACATTTTTAGAGTAATCTAACATTTTTGTAGTGGTATTAGTAGACATTTATATTTTTCATAAAAGCATATGTATTGAATCAAATTACACTTTATTTGTTAAATCATATAAAACAACTCCCAATTTCAGGGTAATCTTGCTACTCTGGTAAAATATCTAGAGTGCTATAAATTAATTTTAACTGTTATACATTTTACCCCAAATTTACCAATCGAAAATAAAATTGCACTAAAAGTACATCTCAATTGAAAAAATTACCGCAGATTTATGAATCGAAAACAACAGAAGTACAAATATAGATATGCGATATGCATTTCTGTTTGCCTTATTTAAATACACATGTACATATATTACAAAAACAGTGATGCCAAATAAGGATCACAAAATAAATAAATAAAATAAATAAATAATTTGTTATTATAATTATTTAAAATAGGTTATAAATTATATAATTTAATTAAATTGAAATTAAATTAAAAAATATATTTATAATATTATTACTGTTATTATTACAACCCTGTTTGTCATAGTTTTTTTGGCAGACATGTGATCGGCAAACGCATTAATAGGTATACACTTTATCCATTAATTAATCCATTAAAGGATATACAAAGCTATTATTTCTTAATATATTTTATTTAAATTAAAACTTACCGGAATGTTGTCAACCCAATTTTCTTCATAACAAAAATTGCCTACTTCTATGCATTATGCGTTTGCTCTAATAAAAAGCTCACATGAATGTTGT